AGTTTTGTTTGCTAATGTGACTGAAGGGGGAACTGGGAAATGGGGAGGGAAAGAGAAGTTCATTGTTGACAAAAATGTGTTGTATGCAGTTGACGGTGACCACCAACGGCTTGTGATACCTTCTAGTTGTAGACCCCTCATTATGCACCTAGCACATACCCTCCACTGGGCAGGTCATTTGGGTCGCCAAAAAACCTATATGCGAGTTAGCTCACGTTTCTTTTGGCCGTCAATGTACACAGACATACAGAAATATTGCCGTACATGCCCTATCTGCCAGAAAACATGTCCAGCTCGCAAGTCTGACAGGGCTCTGCTACAGCCACTTCCAGTCATCTCCACCCCCTTCCGTAGGATAGCTATGGACATTGTGGGTCCTCTGGTAAAAAGTAGTCGGGGTCATCAGTACATTTTGGTGGTGTGTGATTATGCGACTCGTTTCCCGGAAGCTTTCCCCCTGCGTACGCTCACGGCACCCAATGTTCTGCGTGCACTGGTACAGCTGTTCTCCCGGGTGGGGATACCAGATGAGATTTTGACTGACCAAGGGACTAACTTTACCTCTAGGTTGATGCAGCTCTTCCACAATCAGCTAGGCATCTCTGCCATCAGGACGTCACCTTACCATCCACAGACAGATGGGTTGGTGGAGAGGTTCAACCAAACTTTGAAGAGGATGTTGCAGAAGTTTGTGTCAGACACTGGGAAAGACTGGGACCAGTGGCTACCCTTCCTGCTGTTTGCGTACAGAGAAGTTCCCCAGGCTTCCACTGGTTTCTCACCATTCGAGCTACTCTATGGTTGGGATGTGCAGGGCCCGTTGGATCTCCTCCAGAAGGGTTGGGAGTCTCCTGCTTCTGCTGCAAATGAGAAAGGAGTGGTGCAATTTGTGCTGGAAATGAGAGATCGGTTGGGGAGATACCATGAAGAGGCCGAGGTCAACCTGCGAGACGCTCAACGAAGCCAGAAGACCTGGTATGACCAACAGGCCCGGCAACGTGAGTTTCAACCTGGTCAAAAGGTGTTGTTACTTCTCCCCTCAGCCAACAGTAAACTGCTGGCGAAATGGCAAGGGCCATACACAGTTCTTCGCAGAATGGGTCCAGTGACCTATGAGATTCATCATCCTGAAAAGAGAAAACAGAAGCAGACTTACCATGTGAATCTCGTGAAAGAATGGGAAGAGCGTCCCCACCAGGCCCCTGCGAAAGCTCTGATGGCAAGAGAAGTGCCAAGAGAAGGGAAGACCGAACCCGAGCAGGGAGCCGATCCGATGTTTCCGGTGTTGACTCATCTCCCCCTACAGCAGGCGGCGGAGCTACTCCAAATCCTTCGGGAGACTCCCTCTTTGTGTTCAGTTAACCCCGGCAGGACCACCCTTGTCGAACATGTGATACGCCTAAAGGAGGGACATCCCATCCGCCAACGGCCATACCGGATTCCACAACACTTGGTGGAGAAACTGCGACAGGAGGTGGAGAAGATGCTGGAGCTTGGGGTGATAGAGCCGTCCTGCTCAGAGTGGTGTAGCCCGGTGGTCATCATCTTCAAGAAGGATGGCTCCCTACGCATCTGCATTGATTTCCGGAAGCTAAATTCTATTTCAGAGTTTGATGCCTACCCCATGCCTCGAATCGAGGACTTGCTGGAGAAGATCGGAGCGGCCAGGTACATCACCACCTTGGATCTGTGTAAAGGGTACTGGCAAGTGCCACTGGAGGAGTCTTCTTGACCGTACACCGCCTTCAGGACCCCTGCCGGCCTGTTCCAGTTCACAGTGATGCCATTTGGCCTACATGGGGCACCGGCCACCTTTCAAAGGCTGATGGACAAATTACTACAGGGGTGTGACCCCTATAGTGCTGCCTACCTGGATGATGTAGTGATCTTCAGCAACACCTGGGAGGAGCATCTGCAGCACTTGTCCGAAGTCCTGGGAAGAATCCATAAGGCAGGATTGACCCTCAACCCCTCTAAATGTGAGTGGGCACAGCAGGAGACCCGCTACCTTGGCTACCAAGTGGGCAGAGGTGAGGTGCGCCCGCAGATGGATAAAGTGGACGCTATCCAGAACTGCCCTCGGCCTCGCACAAAAAAGGAAGTCCGGTCTTTCCTGGGGCTGGTTGGCTGGTACCGAAGATTTGTGCCCCAGTTTGCAACTATTGCGGCCCCTCTTACTGCATTGACCAGCAAAGACCAACGGAATCCTGTCATATGGACAGCGGAATGTGAACAAGCCTTCAACGGGCTGAAAACCTGCCTGTGTACGACTCCAGTTCTCAGGAGCCCCGACTTCAGGAAGAAGTTTCTGGTCCAGGTGGATGCCTCCAAAAGTGGCCTGGGAGCAGTGCTGGCCCAAGGGGACCCGGGAGATGAGCATCCGGTCCTATACCTGAGCCGCAAGCTGCTGCCACGGGAAACCCCTGCTGTACTCTTTGTACACATATGACTGCGTGGCCACTACCAGCTCCACCACCATCATCAAGTTTGCTGACGACACCGTCGTGGTGGGCCTGATCTCTGATAACAACGAGACGGCCTACCTGAAGGAGATTAGGAATCTGGAGAACTGGTGCCAGAGGAACAACCTCCTTCTAAACGTCAGTAAGACAAAGGAGCTGATAGTGGACTTCAGCACTAAGCAGGAGAGGAACTACCAGACCCCCGTCATCAACGAGTGCCCAGTGGAGAGAGTGGACAGCTTCAAATACCTCGGAGTTCACATCACGCAGGACCTGTCATGGTCCTGTCACATCAACACCGTGGTGAAAAAGGCCCGACAGCGTCTCTACCACCTCAGACGCTTGAGAGACTTCCAACTGCCCTCCAAGGTGCTCAGGAACTTTTACTCGTGCACCATAGAGAGCATCCTGGCGGGAAACATCTTAACCTGGTTCGGGAACAGCACCATGCAGGACAGACGAGCTCTACAGAGGGTTGTGCGGTCAGCTGAGCGCACCATCCGCTCCGAGCTCCCTGACCTGCACTCAATCTACAGCAGGCGGTGCTGGACCAAGGCCAGGAAGATGGTGAAGGACCTCAGCCATCCCAACAACAGACTGTTCTCTCTGTTGAGGTCAGGAAAGCGATTCCGCTCCCTGAAGACCAACACAGAGAGACTGAGGAGGAGCTTCTTCCCGCAGGCGATACGGTCTCTCAATCACACCACCACACAGTACTGACCCACACATGTAGTTCTTACACACACACTGGACTTTCTGGACTTTGGTTTTGCACAACACTGGTCACTATATTCTTCATTTCCAGTTAATACTTGTACAGCTGCTGTTATTGTGTATATATTTATTTATATTTAGATTTCTTCATACATTCTTATATAGTTCTATATTGTGTATTGTGTATTTTGTTGTACAGTTATTTTATTTTCAACTTTAATTTATATATTTTATCTTATTCTTCCCAGTTAAATTTACCCTTCATTCTAATTTGTGTTGTACAGTTATTTCATTTTTAACCTTAATTTATATTTTATTCCTTCCTAGTTAAATTTACCCTTTTTAATTTTTCATATTTATTTCCTATCTTATTCATAGCCTTTTCCTTTTTTTTGTTCTCTTTAGGTCACGAGCAGTTGTCCAAGCATTTCACTACATATCGTACTGTGTATGACTGTGTACGTGACAAATAAAATTTGAATTTGAATTTGAATTTTGAACCAACTACTCAACGGTGGAGAAGGAGGCTTTGGCCATTAAGTGGGCACTGGAGAAACTCAGGTATTATTTACTTGGAAGAGAGTTTGAGCTGGAAACTGATCATCGAGCGCTCACCTGGATCCATTCCATGAAGGACCATAACAGCCGACTGACACGCTGGTACCTTTCACTGCAGCCTTTCAGATTCATCATCCGTCACAGACCAGGCAAGCTCAATGTAGTGGCAGATTATCTCTCCAGGTTGCCGCACAACGCCAACCTCCGGGTGGAAGGGGATGATGTGACGGAGTCACCCCGTCCCGAACCGCCGACAGCTGATCCGGGCGCATACACCACCATTAGTTTTTACAATTACCGGGGCTGCGCGGCTTTTCGGCGACCGGGCAGATAAACAAAAAGGGGTGAGAGGTATAGTTTGAGCAGCGCAGAAGGTGGCCAACGTATTTTCCCACTTACCTTCCATAAAGCCGGTCGCGGAGACTCGCTATGATCGCCGAATTATACGGGGGTTATGCAAGCCGATGGTATGGGGTTCCGGGGTTTAAATAGTGGGTTCGCGCGCGCTTGAAGAGTCACGTGAACTGCATTATTCTTTTGGTTTGTTTGGTGTTATTGTGAAACACTGTAGGCTGCCGGGAAGTGGCCATAAATGTCTGTATATACATATATGTATTGTAGGACTACAGCAGGAAATAAGCTGAGGGGGAAAGACGGTTTGATAATAATAAAGAGATGACTATTACGCCTAGTGGGAGGGGCTATGGGGTATAAGAGAAGGCGGTCAGGGCCCACCTGTTGCTTTTGCTTTCTTTCCAGTGAGCTGTTACAGAGAGGGTAACATGCAGACTGTGTTTTGTATATAGATATTTGTTTGTGCTGACTTAAGTCAGTTCTATTTCTTTGTAAATAACTTTTTGTGCACCTGGGAGGCCGGCAAAATAAATAAATTATCCACACTGAATGCTTCCCGACTACGCCTGTATTTGTTCGGAGGAAGTTTAGGAGAAGGAGCCCGCGACAGTGTGTTTTGGCAGCTGTGGCTACAACTGCAGCTGCCTCCACCAGTGTGTGAATGTGAGAGTGACTGAATAGTGGAATTGTACAGCGCTTTGAGGGCCCCGAAAAGCGCTGTACAAATGCAATCCATTATCATTATTATTATTTGTACTATCAAACTATGAGTACTGTTAGAGAAGTACCACAAGTCAATGACCTTGGTGTCCTTAATGATAAAAAGCTCCTCTTCACATCCGACCGTTTCAACAGAGTCACATCAGAAATTAGTCAGATCCCTGTCACATTTAACTCACACCATCCAGTTGATACGTTTCATTATTTTAATATTGAAGGCAAATTTAAGAGTGAAGCAGGCGTAAGAATACAAGGGAAAAAGAAGAAAACATTTAAGACAATCAGTGTTAAATCAGTTTTACATTTAGAATCATTTATTTTCTGAAACGTCTTAAAGGCCAAGTGTATATGGACACCACAGACCACAACTTAACAGGTCTGGAAAGAATCTGATATAAAATCAGTATCTTCGTATTTTTGACCAGACGTTGCACAGGATGTTGAATGATCTTTTTCTTTTTGATTCATAATTGATTCATCGCACATTTTCTTCAAAGAACATAGACGCTGATGCTATTTGGATGTCAGCGATTTCCTCCATTCAGTGATCTGGAAAACCAACTGAAAGAAAATTTATGTCAGAGAGTTTCATTACTGAACCCCAACGTCTTAGGAAACAGGATCAGTGCTGAACCACCTAAAAGCACAGTGTGTAAGGGCAGATTCACATTTCTCTCTAACTGTTACATGAGCTAAATTTTTTGTTGTTATAAATGCTCTAATTAAAGAGAAGTCTGAGGCACTTACAGTGACAGCTATAAGCCATCTCCAGGTACTTGTAGGTGCCAAAACACGGGTCTCCAAACACAGAGCTGCTCACTTTGACAGTACAGTTGCTTTTCCCGTTACAGCTGCAGATTCAGGTAAAGGTGAGTTGAAATATGTTGTGTGAGAAGACAAAAGGCTGAAGGAAGAGAGTCTGCATCTTTACCTGTCAGCTAAATTGCTTATGGGCTTTGAGCATTGGACATTTTGGAGCTGAGAGGCTGGAAGATTCAAAGAGCATGTGGTCGAGTCACGGCGCCCGTAATCAGCTCCGTGGATGAGTAAAACCTGTCCTTCACCTGAAGAAGAGCAAACGTTAACCTCATTTGTATTTTTACCGCATGAATCCAAAGACTCACAAAGAAGGAGGAACTGTGCTCTCACCGCACTGAAGGTTTGCCAGCGAATCGTCACAAGTTACACTGTGGACTGACAGAGAAATAAAGCACATTAGAGACATGCACATTCACAAATTTGAATACACTGAATATTAGTTTCTAATCACAGTTGTAATGTACTTGCTGGGAAGCAGGTGTAGGTGGTGTCCAAGTATTTGTAAATGCCGGAGCACGGATCAGAAGTACGGAAGGAGTTTGTACTTATTTCACACACCTTCTTGCCATCACACCTGCAGGGAGACAAAGAGGAGCTCTCGTCTTTTCAGGTGAGTTAAAGTGATCGATTCATCCATGATTCCTCAGACTTGTTTACCTGCTCTTGACGTCTTTTAGAGTGTCTATCTGGAAACACTGTGTATTTGCAAGCTGATCTGCAGGAATGCCATCACTGCAGATTTGTGCATCTGTCCGCCCGTACATAGCTGCCTGCACGATGATCACTCCATTATCTGTTACACAGAGAACGATGACGTTCAAACGGAGGGAATCACAAGGAATGCATAAGGTGTGCAGCACAAGAGAAACAAACTGAGGCTTTTTATGTTTTCAATAATCAGAAAATGTCCTCCTGTAGTTCTGTGGTGTTACAGGAAGTCTGAAAGGTCACATCAGTCACAAGCATAAACTGTAGTTTCACTGAATAAAGCACAAAAAGAACCTAAACCTTAACAGGTTTTTTTGCTCCTCGGGTGAGACTGAGCTCAGTTTCTCATAAACACAGAGTCAGACTTCTATTTACAACCTGAGGAGTCGCCCCCTGCAGGACATTAGAAAGAATGCACATTACATCAGAACTTCACTTTTGAGTGAGAGCTAGGAGCTATAAAAAACATTTTTATGTTACCACAGCTCAGGCGTTGCACATTGTCAAGGCTGTCACAGGTGATCACCCTCGCTGTGGACATGAAGGTCGGCGGGAATGGGCCCATAGGTCCACTCTGGCCCAGAGGTCCACCTGGGCCCAGAGGTCCACCTGGGGCCATAGGTCCACCTGGGCCCGTAGGTCCACCTGGGGCCATAGGTCCACTCTGGCCCAGAGGTCCACCTGGGCCCAGAGGTCCACCTGGGGCCATAGGTCCACCTGGGCCCATAGGTCCACCTGGGGCCAAAAAGCCTGAAATGAAAAATGTAAAAAGTCCATAATTAGTGAGTCTTGGATAAATTTATTATGCTACAGCAGGGTCATCATAAACAAACATGAATGGATTTGAAATATAGAAAACACAGGACAAGTGGGAAATAATCCCAGTCGACTTAATGTCACCTTCATTATATGTATTTGTATTTTGTAACACTCCTCTGAACCGGCTGAGGAAGGATTTCCTCCACATCAGTCGCTGATGGTCTGTCACCCAGCAATTTTGTGTTATTTTGTGTTGTAGCTATGCCCGTGCTTTCGTCTCCCCTCTCTGTTCCCACGTGTCTGTCCTTGCGTTCTGTCTCTCCCCAGTCTGGCATGTGTCTCATGTCTGTGTGCACACGTTGTCAAGTCTGTGTTGTCATGTCTACGTTCCATTATGCTTCCTGTTTTACTTTGAAGGGTTCGATGTTTCCATGTTCAGTTTTACTTCCCCTGTGGCGTCATGTTCATTTGTGTCAGCTGTGTCTCTCCAGGTGTTTCCACTTCCTTCATTGCCCTTCGGTCTTCTTCGGTTCAGTGTCGGATCATCTGTTTACCTTGTGTCACGTCGCATCATAGAGTTTTTCTTCAACTGCTCAGGTTCATGTTTGGTTTATTTCATGGGTGCGTTTTGCATGTCCCCGTTCAGCGTTATGTTCTGGTTTTGTATCGTTGTTGTCATAGTTTAGTTTTTCCCAGCTTAGGTTAGTCCCACCCTTGTTTCACTTTGCTTTGTTTTTCTGTCGTGTCTGCTTTTGGGTCCACACCGCAAACACACCGGTCTCTCTGCCGCGACAGGTCTGACTGGTTTTCAGTCACTGAAGCCTCCTGCTGGGTGACTCATGCACAATAATGAAGTGATGCTATTCAGATAATGTAAGAATGTTGAACAGTGTCGTTCCTGGGGTCCGATATGTAACCTGACTGGCTGAGCATGATGGAAGCGAATCAGCCGTAAGTTCTGGTAGGGACAACGAAGGCCAGTCCCCATAATTCCAATTATCTAAAAGTGTTCCCACCACTAGTTTAACATCAGTTTCACAGGACACTGTTCTCTGTTACTGAACTGCTTTCAGTCAGTGCTTCAATGAGTCCGAGTTTCCAGAGTTTACCTGAGGGATTTTTCCTTAGTGGTGGTGGGACTGAAAACTTATCGGAGGCTCTTGTAGTGAGTGGTGTAGTAAAATCAAATAGCACTATAGTGTACAGGCATGAAGCAAAACTGCTATGCAAATCTAGGCTATCTCTTTGAGTATGAAGGCGTGTTAGAGCCAGAAAAATATTGTTTATTCTGAGAGAAAAGAAGAAACTGGATAGGCCGACGTAAGGAAGGCGATGGTTACAGGCTCGTGCAGTAAAGAGGACGGATGTCGTATCACAGACACAATCAGAGCCGATCGGGTTTCACTAACTCATCTACGTGCTAGAGTAAGAGGTTAAAAGGACGTTAGCATAAAACGTATCAAACATTCAGTGATTACCTGAAGTCATGAGTACACACGTTGCTGCGAGCACTGAAACATAAAAAGAGAAACCTGGGTGTTAGCCGGCGTGCGACCTACAGCTGATTTACTCGTTTGTCTTCTGTGTTACTGTAAGTTAACAGTGTTCCACATGGACTTTAACACATGAAATGAAAATGAATAACAAACAGAGAAAAACTGGATACACAACTTACTGGTAAAAGACAACAAAGTCATGTAAATGACACATTAAAGGAGCAACTTTTAGTGTGCAAAGCCTTTCCTGTACTCACACAGTGTGCTGCTGAGTCCGGAGCACTGCATGCTGTTAGAGCAGAGCTGATGGTGGAGCACAGGAACCTGGTCTATTTGTACTGTTTCTCTAAGAATCTATCTGCACACCAGGCAAGCAGCCAATCAGAAACCTTCCCTCATGATGTGCAACAAACTGAAACAGACAATAGAATTTGACCTTAGATAAAGCCCGCAGGGCACACACACACAGACACACACCGAGAGAAACATATCTGATGGAAAGGTGTGTATCCTCGAGAGAAACCAGAAGATAAAAACAGACATGCAACTTGACCTGCTTGGAAGGTTTTGGATGTATGCTCAGCTTGATGTGGGGAATGTGTCACCTTGATGGCTCCATGCAGGCACCAACCACGCTGCAGCTGCAGCTCAGTGCTGGAGGTGCAGAGCATAGTCCAGCCTCTGAGTGGTGAAGCTCTGCTGGAGGTGGGAGATGAAGACCTCACAGACCGAAGCCTCTGTCAGGTCCTCACGCCACATTTAGGTGTGCCAGCTCTGCCTATCATCATCCTCTCTTCACCCTAATGCCGACTGTAGGATAACGTTTTTAGTTTAAAATGATCATTTATCATATGTGAATGTTGCTGTTTTGCACAGTCCAGACAAGATTTGTCTTTGATGCCATGATCTGAAGGAACATCCTTTATTCAGTGATAATAAAACAGATGTTTGACACCAGGACGGAGCTTTAATGTCGTGGTCACATCAGCCAAAGCCAGACACTGGCAGGCAGGTTTATTTCCATTTCACATTACAAATACAGAGACCAATGTTGTTTTTTATAAATAAAAAAAGCAAAAACATATAATTATTTGATAGATGTTTATTTTTGTAATTTTTAAAACAGTCAGATAATCTCCATCTAATCCTGGACAGGAAAAAAACAATCACAGGTGTTTGAAACTGACTCAGCTTCACTGATTTACTGCATCATAGGAAAAGTCATCAAAAGCACTGAAGCTACTGAGAGACCCACGAAATGGTTTTGCTGATCAACTCCCAATAAATTGTCATAAAACTGCATTTTAATCCGTTCATGTTAGATCTGCAAAAGAACAGACAACATCTCCACGTCAGATCATGTCAGTCTTTGTAGTGTGAGAACATCAACGTGATCATTTAGGCTGCTTACACTGGCAGATGTAAGCCACCTCGAGGTATTTGTATGTGCCAACACAGGGGTCTCCAAACACCGAGTTACTCGCTCTGATGGTGCAGCTGCTCTTCCCGTCGCAGCTGGAGATGCAGAGCAATGTGAGTGAGCGCAGGCATTGATGTGCACTGAGAAATATGAAAGTAATACCTGCAGCCACAGTTTAAAGCAGTAACAGGAGGAAAACGGTACCTCTCAGCGACTTTGCTGGTGGGACGGGAGCAGTAAACATTTTGGACCTCAGAGGCCAGAATTCTGTAGGAGCATGTGGTCTGATCGTGGCGTCCATAGTGAGCCCCGTACACGAGGATAGCCTGCCCTTCATCTGACGAGAGAAGACGAGCAGAAAACAACCCAGCAACGTTTTTTCAGTTTAATCAAATTTAAATTTGATTCAAGTCATATAAATCATTTAACACGGGTCGAATTCATGAACATAACAAAATAACACATTGACAGTAACAGATGGATTGACTTAATAAACACTAATAAGAAATTAAAATGTAAATAAAATAAAAACAAAAAGAACTGCAATAAAAGTAGAAAATCTTCACCTGAAAATGATCAGAGCTGAGACACAACAGAGATAATGACTCTTACCACAGTGCAGGTGTGCAAACGAGTGCTCGCATGTGACCAGGTGACCTGTGGAAGCAGGTCAGATTAGATATGAAAGCATTGAAGAACATTGGCTCTCAGCGACATGTTGAAGCTGCTGTTTGGCAGCCTCAATGTAAATGAAGCTGGAAGTTTAGAGATTCCTTGCTTTCCTTTTTTTTTTTTTTTTTTTTTTTTTTAAATGACATCAGAAACAGCAGTATGCGACATTACGTGATGGCAGAGCTTCAGTTCATCCTTTGTCATTTTTTTTTTTTTTTTATAAATAGGACAGGGGGAATGAATGAGAGAAAGAGGGGGAGAGAAAGAAAGAAAACCAAAGGGGAGAAGAGACGGTGAGAGGGGGGGGAAGAGAGAGAGAGAAAAAAAAAAAAGAACTCCTGGGTCACCTGTATGGAGAAAAAAAAAACAAACAAAAAAAACAAACAGAGGAGACAGCAAACAACAAAGAGCAACATAATAATAGAGAAAACAAAGCACCATCACAATAAACTAGCTAGTCATAGATATCAATATTTACTAAATAATAAACGATATTGTGCAGCACGCAAGATAGACAGCGCACAGTGTGCTTTGAGGCAGCAGCCAAGAAAGCTTTAGTCCGCGTCTGTGAATACCCATGTGTGCATACCTGTGTGGATCAGCATGCTTGCATTCCAAAGGTTTCTCCATGTAATGATCTGCTAGGGAGTGTGGGGGGGCCACAGCCCCGTCCTCCAGGGTGTGAAGCGGGTATGGAGGAGATCAAAACTCCAGACATCCAGAGGCCCCCAGAACACAAGAGACCATGGAAGACCAACAGAGGGGCAGCCGCGCCACTGTCCCAGAAGAGATTCCTTGCTTTCCACCGTCCCTTCTTAACCCTCAGGGGGAAAATATCTTGGTGTCATGTTTGTACCTCTCTTCAGTCTGACTCACAGATCAAAGCAGTTGTTACCCACTTTTCTTCAGAAAGATGAACTCTTTCTTTCTGTTAATAACCTAAATGTTTGCTGCATGAATGAAAGGATCCTGAACGTCTGCGTGCACAGAAGTGTAATCATATTTGTGAAGTACCGGATCAGAAATATTGTTGCTCACATATACCCGCCTACATGAACTTCATGTTCTCTAGCAGATGTTCCACATGCTCTGTCTCCTGCTGCTCACTTGGGTTTGTTAATCAGGGTCTTCTCATGATTCATCTGATTGGTGCGTTCTCACTCACTGGCTCCCTCCTCAGATGACATCATCTACCTCAGGAACAGTGTTCACATCCCAGCTCAAAATGTTTTCATGAGCTTTCACATAATGTCATCAAAGCAGATTTTATGTTTTACTAAATTATAATGAAAAAGTCATTATTATCAACGTATTACTTGGTTTTGATGATTTGTTGAACATCTGCTGTGTTTAAATGTGTTGACTGACTTGACTTAGCGTTAGCATGCTCACATAAATCAGTCACAAACTCTCTGACCTTCTTTCTGAGCTCTGCTTCCTTCATAGTTTCATGGTCATGTGATACTGACTTGCAGGTAAGCAGGTGTAGCTGGTCTCCAGATATTTGTAGGTGTCGACACAAGGGTCAGGACTTTCGACGTCAGTCACGCTCAGTTCACACACTTTCTTCCCATCACACCTGAAGGAAACACATACATAAAAAAGCAGTGCTGGATGTTGGTTATTGTTTAACTGTGCTGCTTTTTCCAAAACATATTTACACATATTTCTTTACTTTCTTTGCTCATGTAGCGGCTGTAATTGAAAGATGAACAGCAAAGGCTCGGTTAGCCCATAGAGAATAATTATAGCTAGCTAATTATAGCTAGCTATAATTAGCTCAACCTCATGGACGCTCACATGTAGCTGACTGTAAGCTGCCACATTCACAACAGAAGTTTAGGATCCTTTCTCTTGTACCTCCTCCTGAGGACGTCCACGGTTCCCTGCTGAGAGCACTCAGTGTTGTTAAGCTGTTGTTGAGGTCTGCCCTCACTGCAGGTCTCTCTGTCTGCACGTCCGTACAGAGCTGCTACCACACTGATCACTCCATTTTCTGTCACATCGAGTGGATCAGAAACGAGAGCATTTCATTTAAAAGCAGCGTAAAAATCAGAGTTCACTGCGATTTTTATTTCTGCATCGTTGTCTCAAGGCGCTTTATTTTGTAAGTTAAAGACCCTACAGTAACACATCACTGCAAGCAGCTGAGAGGTTAGAACTTGAATAACAATAATAACAATAATAATCGTAGGTATTTTATTTTGCACTACATTTTCATTAACTGTAAAAGGTTTACTAAAATAATTACTACACTGTTATTTCATTTATGAGATACATCTAAGTATATTTATTGACTGAGTTGATGATGTAGTTTATACATGATCATATATAAACGAATGAATAAATTAAATTAAAGGAAAATTACAAAACTGTTTCTAACAAATACAGTGACGAACATTAAACCTGCATGAATTATGACTACCTCAATCCGGAGTTTCTTTCTTAAGTATTTTTATTCGTCTTTGGGCAGTAAAAGATGAATAAAAACACTTATACTCATAATTCATGGATGACAGGATTAAATAACAATAATTACAATGAAACATGTCATACATCTATAGTGACATTACACGACCTTTGGGTGGCAGGGTGTGGAGTGACACCAATGTAGTGGTTTATGTGCAAGTATACCATCAACACTGACACAAATACAAGAAAACAACTAGGGCTGGGTATCGTCACTGATTTCTAGAATCGATTCAATTCCAATTCACAAGGTCCCGAATCGATTCGATCCACGATTCGATTTAATTCGATTCGATTCGATTCGATTTGAATCTGGGAAATTTTGACAGTCAGAAATATTATAATTCAGATCAGTACATTTACATATTTTTGTATCTATAAAAAGGAAGCTGACACACGCAAGACTTTATCAAAGGTGTGAGCATCACAGTAGAGGCCTTTGTGTCAAAGTAGCTGAAGATAAAACACAGAAAAACATAAAGTTGATTTTCCTGGCCTGGGATTTTATAAAAATAATCTGCAGTACATCAAAAACGAAAGAAAACCATTAATCAACACATGAACATCACCTCTGAAGTTACAGCGGTTTTAAAAAGTTTAAATTTGTTCAATATTGAACGGCAGAAATTAGGTTTACTTTTCGGAAGTAAGTAAAAGGGGAAAAAAAAAACGTCGGCCGACAGCCTGTAAACAACGGTAGACTTGTGCGTAACAAGCAAGCGAATAATGAAGAAAGGGAAACTGTTCTTGAAGTACAGAGAGAGAGAGAGAGAGAGAGCTGTGCATGAAGTGTGATTTTTATCCTGAAAAGTCAGCAAAAGTCAGAGGGAATTCATGACGATGTTTATGTGAAGCATAGTTTGGATCTTCTTTTGCTGCTGGTTCGGTCAATATTGTTTGGAGAGAGATAAAACTAACAGCCATATGATCAGCGCAAAAAGGGCGTAAACACCCAGCGCGGACCCGCGGATCAGAATCAGCGAGCTGTCGGCTTTCAGCCCCGACCGTCAGCTGAGAAAGGCGACATCTCAGTGATTCTGATCCGCGGGTCCGCGCTGTGTGTTTACGTCTTTGTGCAGGAGCCATGTACCTGCTCTCATTTACTGTCTTAGCTGTTTGGTGGTTGTTGAAATTTTGTGATCTCTCGCCTGAGATTCTGGCATTTCGGGCAAAATAAATTTATATTAAAAAAATCGATTCAGGATTTTAATGAATCGATTTTACATTATCCAAGCCAGAATCGATTTTAATCGATAAATCGATTATAAAAACCCACCCCTAAAAACAACCTATGAATAGCTGTAGTGACCACTGTGCATGAAAGAGTTCAAATACACTGTCAGTTACAGTCACTGTAACCCACTGTAACAGCAGTATGGCGAGGAAGGAGCGGCTAGCAGGTCGAGCGAGCGTGTGGTGTGGGGGTTAAAAACCCGAAGCCAGTCGGTTAAATCCAATAACAGACCTTTATTCACTGTCAGCAACATTACACCTTCTGAGCCAGGTCTCCACGGCTGTACTCGTCCATGCATACATGCGCACAGATTGGTAACGCCGGTGTTGTGCCAAAAAGTGATTGTCTGCCAAAAACTGATTTCCGGTATTTGCCAAAAAGCGATTGCTCATATTTAAAGTGCTATAAGTAACTTGTTGGGCTATAATATGTTAAACATATGTCAAATGCATCCCTTATGGATGACATAAAGTCATCTTGAGCCACAAACAACATTCGTGTAGCAAGATACAAGCCGCAATCAGTTTTTGGCAGCGACTTTTATATAACCTTTATTTATGCAGTAAAAAAAGTCTCATTAACATTAAAAATGTATTTTGTAAGAGTAAGTTGCCCAACAGGACAGCAGAAATGGCAGCAAATATTACAATAGTTCTGTAAAAATATTTTAAGTGGGGATAAAGGACCGGATTGGTTATAATGTAAGTACAAGTTGTAAAGATACTTAAAAAACAGATAATGTTTTAATTCTTTATGTAACCCCTTTGTATCCCCTGTTCACCGAAGTCTATTTACGAACATACGTAAAGATATTACACATAAAAAATACACAGAAACACTGGAAATCAGTTTTTGGCAGACAATCACTTTTTGGCACAACACCGGCGCCAGGCCGTCACAACGGTAAGGTTTTCCTTTTCGAATGGAACACGAGCTAACAACACACACCCACTAGGAGACTCCCACAGCTATTACAATAGTAGGGCAACCCCCCCTAGTGGTGCTATAACCCAAAAGGGTTGTTACACCCAGAGGTGGGTCCCGGGCTTGGACCGGCAAAAGTGACCCGAAATTGGCACTCTGGTGGATTTACTTTGTGTGTGTGTGTGTTTGGACGCATAGGTAGGTAGGAACGTCTCCTGCCCTTATAGCAGCCGGGGGAGGACTATCCTCCGCCTGTGAGCACTTTGGCACGGGTGAGGTGCCCACGGCAGCACCGCTGCTTGTTGAGAGTGATATGCATTTTCATTTCATAAATAAGTCTCCAATAATACCAGAAAAAGGTGCCAGATTTGTCGCTAGTCGCTTTTTAGAAAAAAGTCGCTAAGGGGGTCAGTTTCAAACTGGTCATGTGACTGCATGGCCATATCTGATTGGTAAAAAAGTCACTGGAAACTCCACTGGTGGCATGTTATCTAATGTGTTAAACGAATTATTTTTTTTAAAGTAACGAGTCTAATTTTGCAAATGTAGCGGAGTAAAAGTACCGTTTTTCTTCACAAATGTACTCAAGTAAAAGTAAAAAGGTACTTTAAAAGTACATTTTTTTCATTAAATGTAACGGAGTAAATGTAACTCGTTACTACCCACCTCTGGTTACACCACACACAGATTAGCTGCTCTGTCCTGCCTACTGAGAAACAGTGTTGCCAACTCCTCAGTAAGAAAAATCACTATTGGCTGTCCTAAAAGTAGTGAGAAGTTGCTACTTTTAGAAGTTGTTTTAGATAAAAAGTAGTTAAGGGCGTCGGACAGCTTGCTAAATATAGCAACAAAGTCGCTAAATTGGCAACACTGCTGAGAAACCTGACACCGGATCATTTGCATACTTAAAGTGATTGGATGTTTAGCTGGGGGGAGGGTGAGTGTGTGAGCCTGCACACAAAGAGAACACAGAGGGAAAGCAAACAAGACTTAAACCCTATCATCTCATTTGTACATTTTCCAGCAGATCTTTTCAGCTACTGCAGTAAATCTTGTCCAAAATCAGTTTGTGGAGAATCTGTTTTTTTTTCTCAACTTCCAAAAGTTTGACTTAAGGGGGCAGGAAGTTTGTTTAAGGGGGCATTGCCCCCTCTTGCCCCAGTGTAGAACAGGCCCAATTTATGTATTTGTTTAAAAAATGTCTCCAATTTAGGACGATGAACCTTCAGATGAAAAAATGTAAAAATCAAACCAAAATATTTTTTCTCAATTCATGAATTCCAAGAGTTTCATTGGCTGAGTGAAATGTACAAGCCGATTTTTCACATCCCCGCCGAGTCGCTTTGGTTGTGCAGATGTAAACATGCATCGTACCACAGCTCAGCCTCTGGACACCGCCCATGTGACAGCTGACGGCTTTCTCCATGGAAGCATCTGAAGAACAGATATGAAAATGTGACATGAGGTGAGCTGTGTAATGATAAACTGGATCTTGCACTAGATGCTGTTTACCTGCTCCGCTGAGCAAACAGGTCGCTGCCAGCACTGAAAACAAACATCAGTGTTTTATTCATTGAGCAAGAGAAAAGATTTAAACGAAAATGATTTGATCATCTTTTTGAAAAAGCAGAACTTCTCAAACATGCGTGGTGTATATTAATATTAAGGCTTTGATGTTTTACCTATTTTCCTGCGTCTGTAACTGAAATAAAATTATTTTCACAATAATGTTGCTTCACCCTCACATTGTTATCTACTACCAGCTTTGAACATACTTTTCTGTGAGGTATCTAAGTCACACCTTTAGCAGCGAGTGTCACATGTGTCATAAAATCACAGCCTCATCCAAGTGTCTGTCGCCTTTCATGTTAACCACAAAATGTGCTCAGCATTTACATTCAGCTCAGAGATCGCTGCTTACAGCCTCGCAGAGCTGTCAACAAGTGATACATCTGGACTCATCCAACAGAAAACCCACATACATATAAAATAATATTCAGACGGAAACAAACATTTTAGAATTCAGTCATTAAACATAAATATAGAAAATCATTCGTGTACTCACACAGTGTGCAGCTGAGCCTTACACGGAGCATGGTGCCAGTGCTGGTGAGTACTGGTACTGTTGGTACCTGACTCAAACACACCTCTATTTATTCAGTTTGATAAGGAACTTTATTTTAAACAGTAGTTTGACCCTGTTGGATCCTACCCAGACGCATTAACTGGAAACTCAATTTAAAGCAAGAATCTTTGATTAGTGGGTGCAAAAGATGATAAAACAGAACAACGTCCAGTGTGTGCTCCAAGGCTCTCCAAAGGAAGGAGACCAGAATTCATCATACACTTAAAATTTGTTTTCAAAGAATGTCGGTGTTCATGTGAGTGAGCTTTAAACGTGCTTGTAGACGGACTTTAGGACTTTGAGGACGCGCAGGAACAGACGCTATGCCAGTAAATGTTTACTTGGCAAACCGTCACATGCGGCCGCCCGTCCCTGAGCCTGGTTCTGCCAGAGATTTGTTTTTATTTCCAAACGTCTTAGGGCAGGGCTGTCAAACTCAAATACACAGTGGGCCAAAATTCAAAACTGGATCAAAGTCGCGGGCTAACATTAATATTCATTGAAAAAACATCTTCCTCCAAATATAACAAGGAATCTTTTCTTATGGACTCAAACAAGTTTTGCTGAAATCAAATAATTAATTAAATAACACATCAGTGGAATTCATTTCTTAAATAAAAAATGTATTTGCAGCCTTCTGAATTAAATTTGATCATTTATCAAATTTCCATCATATTCTCCCACCTGTCCAGAAAGCTCCTGTTTTCTGCCCTTCTTTTTTCCATTTTGGGATCGGTAGCATGGCAGTATTTGCGTGGTTGCTATGACTATGGTCAACAGAGGAGAGGGTGCTAATGGTCCTGTCATGACTGACGTGCCAAAACACCAACAGAACATTCTGGGAATTGTAGTATTAGCAGTACATGCACTGTATGATACTGGCAGGTCAGCTCTAATAGTAAATTTGTATGGCTTTGCGGGCCAAATGTAATTAGGCTGCGAGCCAAATTTGGCCCGTGGGCCAGAGTTTGACACCTATGTCTTAGGGGGTTAGTGTTGTGAAGTTTAGGATGTGATTAGGTTAGGGGTGGAGTTGGGGGTTAGGGTTTGGTGTGTTGTGTGATGATCAGATCATGCTGGTCTACATCCCTTACATTGTTGCAGGAGAAACCTCCTGCTACACAGCATGCCAACAGCAGTCCAGGCTCCACACGGACAGAACAGGTTTATATAGACCGGTCCTGCATATATTTACGCTCTCTGTGCCTGCATTCACTTCAGCAAATGTAAAAATGTTGCAGCTTTTTAGTCTAGAAACATTTTCTTTCATGTGCAGGTTTCCTTCAAACGCCTTCCTACAGGCAGTATGTGTGTTACGTTTCATGTTCATTTGCTTTCCTCGCTATCCTCAGGCGGCACCACATTTTTGCTCTGTCTTTCTTTCTTTGATCGGTGACCTGTTGTTGGAGGCAGGCAATCTTTTACGTATCCTTGTCCTGTTACTGTCATGTTTCGGCTGTGTGCAGGCAGGAAGAGGACCCAAAGTGCAGAACTCACAACACACGGGAATAACTCAAAATGCAGCTTCATTGCTGACACACGGAAATGATACAGAACTAAAGTAAACTGGAAAATATAAACTAACCTTAACAAAGAAACACACAGCATGAGGGACGATGCGACATGGAGCAGAGGGAGACTCTGACATAAATACACAGCAGGTAATGAGGAAGTTGAAGCACACAAGGAACACAGCTGAGGACAATTACACTTGACAGCACGGGGAGGACACACAACTGCAGGAAGTGCAGTGAGACAGCCTGGAGAGAGAGAGGGAGAACATGAAGGGAAGAGGAAATCATGGAACACAAGGAGTGGGAGCAAAGCACAGTAACTCACATCACTATATAGACAGCCACACAGTGGGAGACACAGAAGGCAACAACACTGTACAGAACAACCTAGGAAACCTGGAGTCCTCAACATAATGCAAAATATGACAGAAAACACAGGGAACTTAAACGACCCAGGACCATGACAGTTACCCTTTGTAGGCTTCAATGATAAAACAATATTGGTCATTGTAAAAGTACAATTTCAAAAAACAAAAAACAAAAGATCAGTAAATAAAATGAGGCCACTTGGCTTCAGTTCTCTGACAGAAACAAAGCAGGATAGTCAGCAAACTGTGAACAAGATGTGTGCAACACCACAAAGTGTTGTGTTCTTTTTTTGATCATTTTATTTTAGATTATCAAAATATAAAACAAAAACAAACAGGCTCAGATGCATTACAGGAAAAACAATTCATTCAAATAAACATTGTCACGGCCCAGCGGCACCAGGGAACAGAGATGGACACAGGTGCAGAAACCAACCCGGAAGCGAGACGATAAGGAACAAGGATTATTTCCGCCACAGGCAAACACAAGCAAAAAACAAAACGACGCCACCGCACTAGTGGCGCGTAGGATAATCTAAGATAACGGAGGGTGACCTAGACACCTCTAGGAGACGGCTGAACAGCAGAGGCAGCGGGGAGGTGGAAACAGGACTAGGTAGGGCCGGGGCACTGGAATAAGAGGAGATCACGTCAGTGGATCCAGCAGACAATCAACGATCCTCCACAGTTGATTTGAGTTGCCTTACTGGGTTTCAGGTGGAGGGGACAGGTGGGGCGGAAGGCCCGGAAGTGGTTGAGACGTGGGGAGGCAGGCAAGTGAGTGGTGGGCCGGCAGGCCACGTCGTATCAGCAGCAAGCGGCCCAGGTCCAGGAAGGCGGGAGTGAGGGAGACAAGACCTCCACTCCAGGTGCTACCTCTGAGAACAAGAAGAACAAGTAAGTAAATCCACGGATTCTGGACAGAGTTATGATGCTCCACTTGACTAACATGGAGATAGCAGATACTCAGGCGATGAATGGTTGAGAGCGCAGGTCTGATATACTGCCGGAATAATTGCTCACAGGTGGTCAGCCAGGGAGGAGCAACCGAACTCCGCCTAAGGAGGAGGGGCCGCTGTTGGAGACCTGCAGGTACCCACCCAGACCCTGACAAACATGCACTTCACAAAACACCACAGGGTAGAAAACCAAATGCTGGAGTCGATGAGAGTTTACAAATCTGGCCTTCGCAAATTGTTCCAAGAAGAGGTTCCACACATTCAGAGGAGAATCCTTTGAGTCTTTGCTGAACTTTTCCATTTGTATTATGGACATCATATCTTTTACCCTTAACTGAAAGGAAGGAGGAGTGGGCGACTTCCATCCCCTCAGGATTAGCCTGTTGGCGGCAATCAAACCTAATTCTAACGGCCACTGCACTGTAACCGGGAGTAGCTCTGATGTCTGAGAACATCCAAAAATTACAAGTTCAGGTTCACGCTGTAGGGGCTTCATTTATCCCTCGGAAGACCAGTCAAATATCTTAGACCAACGTCTGTTAATGAGGGACAAGACCAAAAGGCATGGAACAACGTAGCTTCTGCCAATCTGCACCTGTCACACATTGGGAAGATAAAGGATAAATCTTGTGCAGTCTGACCTTAGAATAGTGTAACCGGTGGAGGGTTTTAAATTGAATTAACTGCTGTTTATAGAGCAAGAATGGATTTTAGACAGACACTTACTCCACATACATTCAGGCACCTTCCTCCCCAACTCTTTCTCCCAAGCCTGCCTAATCCCAGCAGTATACACCACCATAGAATCACCAAGAAAGTGTACAGTTTTTACATGGAATCAGATTGGCTCTTGAGTATTTCATAGAGGCCATGCTCTGACAGAAGAGTTGCAAGTCTTTAAACTGTGATTGGATGCAATGCCTGACCTGCAGATATCGATAAAAATGTGGATGCGCACTCCAAAAACTAAAACTGACATTTACTTAAAATGTTTGAGGCAACACTTTTACACTTAAAAATATTGAGTAGATTGGAAACCAGTCAAATCTGTTCAATATACTTAATCAATTGAATAACTAAAGCTTAAACATATTAAGCTGAAATAAATAACTGTAGTTTTACACAAACGTGAAAAAATTGAGTAAGTAACACTGACATGCTTGGTCATGTAACTGAAATATAGACGGTCAGGTAATCCAAAATGTTGTTCCATTTACTTAATATTGTAAACGGAACGCAATCAAAATTGTACTTAACATTATAAATGGCCTGTATTTATATAGCACTTTACTCGTCCCTAAGGACCCCAAAGCGCTTTACATATCCAGTCATCCACCCATTCACACACTGGTGATGCTACATTGTAGCCACAGCCACCCTGGGGCGCACTGACAGAGGCGAGGCTGCCGGACACTGGCGCCACCTCTGACCACCACCAGTAGGCAACCGAGACTGTCGGTGCCGGGGCTCGAACCGGCAACCTTCCGATTACAATACAAACTGCCAACTCTTGAGCCACTGGTAGTCTAAGTCTAAAAAAACAAACAAACTAGTATGTAGTTGTTGCGTATTTCATAATACATGTATGAAAAATGACCACATGTTAAACATTTTTCCAAATGAAAATGTAATTTTTATAAACATGGCAATAACTCAAAATAAACGAGCACTAAAAAGACAAGAGGGGAGCAAACCAGGAACCGCGACTAGAAAATGGCTGGAAACACAGAGGGTGTAAGACAACAACAGACAGAGGAAAACACAGGGCTTAAATACACCAGGGAGTAACGAGGCATTAGCATGATTAGCATGATGGAAGTATAAAGTTAACAGCAAGGCTGAGAAATATAAGAAGCAGTAAAACAGCATTTACCTGAAGTGATGAGTGAACAGGTTGCTGCCAGCACTGAAAGAGACAGAAAGAAAGCTCAGTGTCAGACTGTGTGTTTGATATCAAGTTGAATTCACCTCAAAACATGAAACAGAAATGAAAAGCAAACAGGAGAAAGCTGCTGCTTTCATTCACACCTGGATTCTTTGGAAACTCTTTCTAAACAGCAGATTTCAATGACACATTTATTCTCTTCATCTTTCCAACTTTTGTCAATAAACTTATTTGTGTTGACAGTTTGACTTCAACTCTTCAACCCCCCAGGGTGTGGGTGTGCATGACCAACATGACATTGATTATAAAACTCTGAGCATATATGAGAAGATATTTCTAAGCATAAATGACAATCCACTATATAAACCTGACATCAAGCTTCTTTCATCTGTGACAGCCAAATAAAGCCCATCTTATCAAGCAGCTTTTGAGACTGTAATCCTGCCTTTGTTACATCTAGGCTGGATTACTGTAACGCACTTTACTGTGGGTTAGTGATGCATCCATTAGATGTCTGCAGGTGGTGCAAACTGCTGCAGCGCGTCTTTTAACTGGAACAATAATCACATTACACCACTGGCTATGATGTTCACATCCTGGACAGGGAGGACGCTGGTTGAGGCGGAGTCAGGAGGCCATTTACGTGAAAGGGAAAGACCATCTCTGAATGGAGGAGGGGCCTAAGGGTACATCTGTCACCATCTTACATGCTGTGATTGCAGCCATTCCTCAGCTCTCTGTGAATGGGACTCATGCTTATTGATCAGTGGTCATGAGAATTTGCATAATTAAGATTAAGGAACTGACCCCCCAGCCCATTGTTCCTCAGTGGGCTGGTTTCAGTCAGTAGATGCAGACGTGAGCGTGCATGTAAGACAGGCCTCTTCTCTTTCTGAGTTTAAAACTCTTCTTAAGACACATTTATTTGCTCTTGTAAGGGGCTGACTCAATAGGACTTTTTAACATGTTGTATTATTTTATTTAATCATTTCATTTGTTGTTGTTGTTTGTATATGTGCAGCACTTTGTGATCTCTGGTTTTGTGTTAAAGTGCTTTATAAGTAAAGCTGGTAAAGTTGCAAAAAAAAGATAAATATATAATTTTACACAAATACGATTAAGCTTATTCTTTTCTTCAGATTTAAACATAACTGCGTTATCAGCATCAGGTGATGAGATCCCAGGATCAGAAGTACTGATTGTCACGGTCCTGGGTCTTATGACCCAGTGTTTTGAGTTTTAGTTCATTTTGATGTTTATAGTATGTTTAAGCTCATTAGGTCTCCTATGTTCATTTGCTTATTAGTTACCCCTTGTGTTTCCAACCCATGTTAAGTCTCCCCTGCTCTTCATGTGTTTCATGTCTGCGTCTCATTATGTTTCCTATTTTATTTTGAAGAGATCTCGTGTTTTTATATTATGGTTTATGTTTTGAGTCCTTTGTTGTACTGTTTCTTGTTTCCCTAGGTCTGAGTTATGGTTATCATAGGCTTAGCTCTTTGGCTTTGTAATATGGCTTCCCTGTGTTCCATGTTATGTCTACTGTGACGTTTTTGTACCATGTTTCAGGTTCCTATGTTCTGTCTCCCCAGTTGCTGTTAAGTTTACATGTCTAGAGTTCAGTCAGTGTGTTTCCTGTTTTACTTTGAAGGTCCGTGTCTCATGTCAGTGTTTCTAGTTTTGCTTCCCTTGTCTCGTCCAGCCTGATTACTCCCAGCTGTGCTCTCCTTCTGTGTCTCGTTCCCTCGTTATCCCTTTGTGTATTTGAGCTCTGTGTTTCTCTTTGTCAGTGTTGTAGTCTCCCTCATGGCTGTGTTTCCTTGCGTTTCAGTTTAGTTTTCCATGCCATTCTGCAATAAAGCAGCTTTTTGAGTTTCATTTCGTTGTCGTGAGTTTTGCGTTTGGGTCTTTCTCCTGCCTGTACACAGCCGAAACATGACACTGATGGTATATTTATGTCACACCTATTTTTCCATCACAGCTGCAGGGAGACAGAAAGCATTTTGAGGTTTATTAAAATGATCAGATGATGATTTGAAGCATGAATGACTCACTTTCAGGTCAACATTTCAGTTCCTTTAAATTTTATTGAATTTATTTTCCTGTTTATTGTGATATGAAATCATATTTATCAACAGAATCCAGCAGTGATGTCATCGAGGCTTGACATCCTGCTGGAAGTGACATCAGCAGTGAGGCTGTGACATCATCATGTCAGACGTGTCAGGACACGAAGGAGCAGTTATGGACCTCTGACACAAACAAACCCTCTCTGTGAGTTACATCCTGAGTCGTTGACATAATCTCGTCCTGTAAAGAATCAAAACAAAGAAATAAAATCAGAGGTCTGTGCAGTAAATGTTTTCTTCTTCTCTAATGTAAAAAGAACAAACACAGTTCTTATAAAGACCTAAGATCACATGACTTCAGTCAATATAAAAACCAAACACATTTCATCAACAGGCCCACTTTCAGTTTGTACCATTAAAGTTTATCTCCATACAATCTTCTCCTCCTCCAGAGTTGTTTGGTTGTTCTTTGGCCCAGTTTGTGAAGTCAAACTGGGAACCATCACTCCACTTCCACACAGTTTCCTGGAAGAATAAAGTTCAGTTTGTTCTGATGTACTTTGATGCATCTATGCTGAGAGTGCAGACATGAGACCTCTTACACCACTCGAAACAACGAAGGTTCATTTTGTTTGTGCAGGTAAAAATGAAAAGAAAAGTCAAGTCAACAGCAACATCTGTCTCCAGGAACAAAGTCCTGATTAATCAGTCTGTCACATGTTGACCTTTGAATCAAACTGATGAATATGAAGAGAAACATATGAAATATCAGAAACAGCTGCAGCTCATCCTCTTTATCTGTGAAACACTTACAGTCTCTCTGTCGTTGCCTCCAACCCAAGCTGTTGGATACGACCCTGCTGCTGTGTAAATGAGCTTTCTGATGAAGGTGTACTCAGCTGTGCTGTGGAATGAGGCCAGATTTCCACCGAGTGTCTGACAGGAACACTGAGGAGGAAGATGAGGTGCACAGAAGATGAAAAGTGTGAGAATGCATTTAAAATCAGTCAAAGACAGAAAGTCTTTATGTCATCAGTGATGCAGCGACAGCTGCTGTTATTTCTGATGTACCTCAGCATCAGTCCAGGTCTTCATGCTGCTTTTAAAGAGGAAACGGCGACCTCCAAACCAAGTCCAACCAGCAGGGCAGGAAGGAGCTGCAAAATAATTGTAAAGGTAGAAGGTCGATAATCAGATTAATAATTCCTCAAAAGACAAAGAAAATACCTAGCCGTGTTCCACTACTGAGTCTATTTGAATTTAAGCTGATGAGGTTCATTTGACATTATTCCTTCTGCGATACCTGGTTACAGACTCAGCACTCTATGCCTTCATAGCCACCTTGGATGACTTCCACTACATCACTTTGAATGCTATACTTCCAACTTTCACACAGTATGTCGTCTGTTTTACCAGCTGAGAGAGAACTTGTTATGAGGCAACAGGCAGATACGTTGTGAGCCCCACAGGACACTGAGTGTATCAGTGATTACATAACCATCTGCTCAGACTCCATTATCTCAGCTCGGACTATACATTGTTATTCGGATAACAAGCCGTGGGTGAAAGAACATCACAGCTCTCCTCAACGATAAAAGAGGGCACAGAGAGGAGGTGGAAAGGGTTTCGTTTTTATTGAAGGGCACGATCAGAGAGGCTATGGACAGTTGCAGGAGAAAGCTGGAGTGGGAACTCCAGCAGAACAACATGAGAAAGCTCTGGAGTGGCATGAAGATATGTCTTTGTAGGTTCTCAGTCACCCAGGTCACGGTAGTCTAAGGAGCTTGAAAAGTCCTGAAAAGCGTCACTGGACTCACGCCATTCAAAAGCAGAGCTGAGGGCCAACAGGTTGAATTTGTTCTTCTACAGATTTGACACTGCAGCTAACGCTCACCCCCCGACTGACTTAACTGTAGTCAGCCTACAGTCCAAAGCCACACCACTCTCTCTCCCTCTTTCTTCTCATTGCACCTGAGCCACTTTAAACCCATAACCACTTTGAATTGTTGAGTTGAATCTATAATCTTAAATGCTTTTGAATGCTTGTTATAATCTTAAGTGTGTATGTGCTGATTCTGTTGATTTTGAGTGCACCCTGTACAGAGTCAGAGTGACAGGAAACTGCAGGCTTGCAGAGCGTTTGCAGAACTGAAACCGAAAGCAGAATCTAAGCGCAGGTTATTCTGAGGAGCAGGTTAGACGAGGCTATGTGAATAACTAGGGTATTCAAATTGTCTTTTATACTTTTATGTTCTTTTACTAAGCTTTTAGTAGAGGTTCTTGATTAATACATTTATTCAACATAGTACATGTAGTTTCAGTTAGGTTATTATTATTATATTAGGTTATCGTGTTCCAGACGAGACAGAGATAATGTTCTTTTAAACCGTGTTAAAAGTTATTGTGGTTTTGATTTGACGTATGTCTGTGTCTGTCTGTGACGTATGAAGGGGCGTCATTAATTCAAACCCTGATGCTATAAAAATCTGTGTATGCTTTGATTAAGTCGGAGATCAATCCCTGTCTGTGTACAGACTGGTCTTCCCACGCGTGTATTCATTAAAATCAATTGTTTGACCAAAATCTTCTGGACCTGGTGGTTTGTACTCTCCTTCCTCAATATTTGAACCTTAACAGTACACATTAAATAAACTAGACTGGGTACTCTACAGTAAGGCCAGAGATATCTGTATTTTCTGCGTCTTTTAGCGTGTTTTGGACAGTGCTCAGGATTTTCTATCAGTCTGTTGTGGCCAGTCCTGTCCTCTATGCTCTTGCATGCTGGGACAACAGGTTGAGGTTCACAGATGCTAACAGACTAAATAAACTGATCTGCAAGGCCAGTAATGTTGTGGGGATGGAGCCGGACTCCCTTAAGGTGGTGTCTGAGACGTGGATGTTGTCCAAGAGAAGGACGATGTTGGACGACACCTCCCACCCACTCCACGACATGCTGGCCAGTTAAAGAGCCAGCACGGAAGCCCACACGCAGAATAGGTGAGAACAATACCAGGAACTCAGGGAAACCGACTGGATGATAGGATGATTAGAACCGGTAAGAACACAGCTGAACTAACTAATGAGAAACTGGGAAGTAGAATGAACAAAGTACACACAGACAAAAGGCTAACACAATAAAACAGGAAACCAACATGAAAACTAAACACTGACAAAAGTCCAAACTGAAAACGCTGGGTCAGCGGCCCAGGAACCCTGACAGTGGCGCTGTAACATAGTAACTGGATGGCTCTGTTTTTTAATCAGCTTATAACAACACATTATAAATAAACTGTGACAACATTCCTCATAACACACCTGGTTATGAGGAATCCATAATCCAGTTATTTGAGCAGAACTTATTGAGATACGCCTGCACCAATCCATCGATGTGCGTCATTAAATGTAGAACATCCTGATGGTGTTGCTTTACAGGGCGCACACAGCTGAAAACGTTAAACTGTGACTGTCACCAGTTAACATGGGCGTGTTTCTTAAATCAGCAGCAGGTGTTCAACAGCTGACGGAGTGAACATGTCACGTCCCCGTGTCTACCCAGCCGCCCCGCAAGGCTACATGTGTATTGTTTCTCTCTCACTCTCTCCTCACCGCTCTGCCTGGGCGGAGCTCACTGTGGGCTCCCACCCTTGGCCCACACACCTGTTCGCAATTAAGCTGCCATTATCTTCCCACCATTTAAGGCCGGGACGCTGTGCTTCTGGTCACTGGACGATTGTGCGAGACACGTTAGTGATTCTCTCAGCTCCGTGAATTTGTGCTTGTTTTTCAGACTGTGAGTAATTTTCCTCTCCTGTGTGACAGTTGTGTGACTTCCCCACTATATGGACGTGTGAGTTTCCCCTTGGACCCACGGATCCCCAGATTGTCCCCTTTCACCAGGCACGTGCAGAGGGGGGCGGGAGGGGCTTGAGCACCCCCCTTTCCTGATGGGTGCCCAAAGTGCCCTTTTGTTTGTAATGTTTGTGTGCGTGCGGAGTCCTGTCTGTGCCCCTCAACAATAATGTTTAACTATTAATCCCATTTTACTAAATAAAGGATCTGGCTTGCATCAGACCTGGGCGGTCCAGAGCTGTAGGAGAAACTACAAATTAACTCAGAGAGGCAGACTGATGCAGCAAAACCATGAAGTATGGTGAACAGCGTACACTGTACTCTATAGCACCCAGGAGTATTAGCTTATTACGTACACGTTGGTCAGTTGTCTTGTGGCAACTGACGAATTGAAACAAATGAGCGTAACAATGCGACAAACATTACCTGTCCTCTTATTAACTGCACAAGTAGTGCTGGTCATAGCTACTGGCTGACTGGGTAAGGCTGTCATGGGTCTGTAGCGCTGTCACCGTTTTAGGGAACATATTTAGTTTTAAACACGGGCGTTTTTAGCTCATATATAGCCCAAAGGAATCAAAGCACCCCAAAGATGTCTTACTTTTTTTGACAATATTTGCTGTTTGTGTGACACACTACTAAAAATAGAAAAACCATACAGTACTTGGTTGAGACGTAATATTCTAAAGACAACGTATAGATCCCCCCCCCAAAAGAAATGGTTGTTCCAGCTCGCCTCTCCCTGCTCTGCTCTAGCGCCCTTTCTGCCAGAGAGATGGTGGCTGAGACGCAGCAGAGCGGAGGTGTGAGCGCCTGGCTTAACCTTCAGTTACTCTTTATATAGTTAGATAGGAGTCAGACCATGTTTCAGTAAAGCATTACACCAGGTAACCTGCAGTGTTGAAAACGTGTTTTCCGACGATGTTTGCTACCCTACAATCAGAGCTGGACTGGCCATCCGGTATGCCCGATGGGGATTTTTCGTTTTTATGGGCCGATGGGTGGTTTTTTTTGTTTGTTTTTTTGTTGTAACAGTATAAACAATGAAAGCTGGTGGATTGGCAGATTTGTAAAAATAACTCAGTTGTTTGGTGGTGGCTGTGGCAGAGCTTCCACCAGGTGGATGAGGGAAGGGGAGGCAGGAGGAGGAGAGACCCGAGGAGGCCGCCGGTCTGAGTGTCAGGTGAACTGAACTTCAGGTAAGAAGTTATGACCTGCAGTGTATCTGGGTCAGATATAAACCAAGTTTAGGTGGAGTTTATTTTAGCTGTGCTGACTTTTTACAGTCAGTTACAATAACTCGTACTGTGTACTAGCTAGCATGACGGGGTTTCTATACAGCTGGGTGGGTGCTATGATGTTACTGATAGTGAACTTTATTTTGTTCATAAGGTTAGTTAGTAGAGTTGCCAATCGTCTCGCATTCAGAGGAAATATTACGAAAGTACGAAGTACGAATAAAAGTACCTTTTGTTCATTCAAATGACTTTGTAAACACTTTTTGAATTCTGTTTTTAAATGTCAGCTGATTTTAATTTTAAATGTCACTTTGACTGGTTTTATTTTTATTTTATCATTATTTTATAATATTTGTATTTATTTGATGATAAAATCACGAGGTGTTCACTCAGGATCTAAAACAAACTGACGAAATCTTCGTGACTGATGATTTTTCTGTTGATTCTTTTCAGCACAGAAAGGTTCATCTTTTAAAAATGATGAAGAATTTTCATTTTCATTCACTTCAAAAACAAGTCTGAATGTACCGACCCTAAAAGATTTTCTTTAGAAGTTTATTATTTGAGTTACTTACCCTTACAAGTGTAAAACACCTCCAGGTACTTATAAATGCCATAACACGGGTCTTCTGAGATATTTGCATCAACAGTACAGTTGTTTGTCCCATTGCACCTGTGAACGCAGGTCAAAGGTGAATCAGCAAAAATTCACTGCATCATCTGAGAGAAGATGGAGAGCTGAAGAATCAGAGTCAGCATCTGTACCTGGTAGTTACATAGTTCGTGCTTCCTGACCAGGAGCAGTTAACATTGTAGAGATTTTCGATAGTATATTTGCCAGGGCACGTGGTCGTGTCACGGCGACCATAATTCGCCCAGGAGACGACTATAACCTGTCCTTCATCTGAGGAAGAGTTCATAGAGTCAAACTGTAACCATGGTGATATTTTTACTGCAGGAAACGTACAAAGACATAGAAGCTGTGTTCTCACCACACTGAAGGTTTGCCTGAGATGCTTCACATGTTACATTGCGGCCTGAAACAGACACAGATCCCATAGAAACTGTAATCATTCATGTACAGATTGGGTTCATCAGTCATTTCTAATCACAGGTTTAACAGAGTCGTTACGTGGCAAGCAGTCGTAGGTGGTCTCCAGGTATTTGCAGACTCCAGGATCATAAGTAATGTTTGACTTTATGTCACACTCGGTTTTTCCATCACAGCTGCAGGGAGACAGAAACAGCTGGTTTTCAGCTCAAAGATATGAAACAAGTTACTTTCAGGTAATCATTTACTTCCTGTTAGTTTGAGTAAAGCTGTTCAACAGGTTTTAGTTTGTTTCTTCTTTTGAATCAAAGGCTCACTTCTACCATCCCACAGTGCTCACCTGTTCCTCACGTTGTTCACAGCGTCACCGTGAGAGCAGATTACTTCACCTCCACATCTGTACTCAGCTGACCTCACAATGATCATTCCACCCACTGTTATACAGACACAGTATGAGAGAAAAGGAACAACTCAACACAACATGCAATAATCCAGGTTTCAGGCTTCAGTTTCAGACTCAGATGCTGCAGATCCATAAATAATGAGGATTGTACCTCTGTACACCACCACAGTGGATATTACATTAACTCTGATCAAGGAGGAAACTTTAAGTCAGTGTTTTTGTTTCTAATCTACATCAAATGTTTCTGAACTTTTATACACAGTCCAACATCCTCAGAGCTTTTTTAAAGAATAAATGCACTGTTGGTTTGTTGATCAGGAAAATACAATTTAAACTGAAAATAAGCAGCTGTGCATAAAAAGGCTGTAAACTATAAACAGTTCATCCAATACTTGTTAAGTTTGTTGAATTTAGCCTGAGAGTCTGAATTTGATCTGCAGTGAATTCTTGGACACTATTTTCCATCTTACCACAGCTCAGGCGATGAACACTGAGGCCGTTAGAGGTGACCACTCTCCCTGTGGATATGGGGGTCACAGGAGGAGGAACTTGAGCTCTGATAAAGCCTGAAATAAAAATAAATGTATAATAATGTAATAATGTAAATGTATAATGTAAAATAAATGCTAGGTTTAAGCCCGGGTCATCTTTTCAGAAGCCCGGGGTCTTTTGGAGTGTAATTTGTTTCATAGTTAGAGGCCTGACTGACAACTGTATAAAACAAAAACCACACACAATATTCGAAGCACATAGCGCACAGTCGTAAATTCCCCCTAATTTTGGTATCAATCAATCAATCAATCAATCAATCAATCAATCAATCAATCAATCAATCAATCAATCAAGGCTTTATTCGCCACGTGCAGGTTGCCCTTGTTAAGGTTCAAATATTGAGGAAGGAGAGTACAAACAACCATGGTCCAACAAGAGCTTGGTCAGACAATTGATTTTAATGAAGTACACGCGTGGGAAGACCAGCTCCGTTCGCAGACAGGGCTGATCTCCGACTTAATCAAAGCATAAACAGATATTTCATACCATCAGGGCTTGTATCTCATGCGTCATCAGATACAATATATGCATACGTCAATTCAAAACCACAATGACTTTTAACACAGTTTGAAAAGGAACATTGTCTCTATCTTCATGGCAGCTGTTTCCTGTCAACCTGCATTTAGACTCTGCTTTCGGTTTCAGTTCTGCAATAGGCACACTCTGCAAACCTGCAACTTCCTGTCAGCCTGCCACTTAGTCTGTCTGAAAGACACACACTGTTTAAACATCTGAATGCAATATCAGTGCTGTAGATTATATTATTAATGCAATGGTAATGATGATGATTATTAACAATAGCAGCAAAATAATTTCCCTGATCTCCACACTCCCTCTTTTGACCCACTTTCCCTAAAAAGAGGGTCACTACACTTTACTTGTTTCATTTCTCTGACATCCATCCTCTGGCTCAGCAAATCAGACAACCTCATGTCATCTAGGTGGTCCAATAATAAAATGCCAGCTCCCACTTGAGAACACTCCATGCGTAAGATTAGGTTTTTTCTGCGTCCCTCTCTTGTGGTCCATCAGGCCTCGGGCCTCCAGCATCCTCACCCCCCTGTGGTCGCCGAGATCTTCTGCAAAGGAAACAAAACAGCTTTTCCTGCGCCTCCCTAACTTATGTTTGGGACTCTTTAATCAAAAGCATGATCCTAATTATGTCCTTGACTCATTGACTTGTATTTATATAAATTCTTCAACGTTACTCATCATTTTAAAACTCTTAAAGCGCTGCTTTCACGTCCCTGCATACGTTTCCTGTCGTCTTATCTGATCATCAACATCCTGTACACAAAACTGTCGCTGCTGCAAGTTCCTCCACTCTGATCTAAAGTCACCTTTCACAAGAAAATCATTATAAGAGCCTATTCTAATAAAAGATCCAAAAGAAAACAACCACTTTAATCAATTAAGTTTAAACATATAAGCAGTGAAATTTGAGCAGCTACCAAAGCAAATCATTGGTACTGTACAAATAATGTAAATATGACGGTGTATCACAAAAGATTGATATCAAGAGGTTTCATGAATTCATTAATAGCTGAGATTAAAGGAATGTTTGGAGCTCTGTTTGTCATCCTGGCTACAGACTCAAGTTTAGGGATGGGTATCGTTTAGGTTTTATCCGATACCAGTGCCAAACCGGTACTTTTGAAACGGTGCCGGTGCTTAAAGAATGGAGAACACAAACTTTGTCCTAAACCTCTCATGTTCAGCTGTTTCCCACTTTTTCTTTGGTCATTTTTAGGGCTGGGCCATATTATACCGTTCATGGTAATACCGGTATAATGTTAGGCAACGATAGGAAAATGAAATATCGCGATAGAATATGAGTAAAACACGCATGCGCAGTGCCTTTGTTTTCATACGCACATGGCCGATTGTTGAGTGAAACAGATGAACCAGAATTGGTTTGTAAAAATGGTGCAACTTCAGTGATGTGGAACTGGTTTGGTGTTTGTCTGTCAGATACACGACAAAGCACATTTTTTTGCAGAACATGCAAGCGGCCGTCGGACTAAGATGCCCTTAAATCTGGGAGTAATCTGGGTCCTAAACTCCGTATACTTCAGGTCAAATGAAAACTGCAGCATCACTGAGAGTTAAAAACTGTCTAAATTCTTTCATCTTTAATAAAAACGATCAGCGTTGCTGCTTTACCAGGTGTAACTATGAAGTTTAACTTCCAGGCATCCATGAAAACAAAATGTATTACATTTAACGGAGTTAGAAGCTAGCAGGAAGCTAGCGGAAGTTAGCTCGCTAGTTTCGCTAGTTACCTAAGCATGATATAGCATGTTCTGACTGAGAGATTTCTGAAAAAAATCAAACGTACAGCTCTGCTATCACTTCCAACATAAATGAAGACAGGAAACTAAACAGCAGTGACGTTTGTAGGGTTACTGAAGTTGGGCTAGCTGGTATATAATCATGTGCTACGTGATCGCTAGCGACACAGCTATGTTAGCATAACATAAACAGTGAAGCTGAAGGACGAACACTAACACTTTTCCACTTATAAAAGTTAACGTTAAGGTTCCTCATGGTTAGAGACAAATGCAATCGCATGGCAGGATGCTGTAAAAGGACCAATCTTCAGTCAGGAGAACAACTGAGATAATCCATCCACAATACGAGGTTAGTCATTAATATACTGCAGCAACATGGGAATAGAGCAGCTGCCAGAGAATTCAACATTAATGAATCAATGGTACAGAAGTGGAGGAAGCAAGAAGAATGAGTTTAATAAAGTTTGATTTATCTGACTGCTAATGTGCCTTATAATCCCGTGCACCTTATGGTCCGAAAAATACGTACTGCACACTGCAGTTTAATGTTGCAAAGCACCTCTTTTTAACTTCAGTGGATATTATACATGGTTATGCTCAGGATATGTCAGCCCATTTCTACTGGAAATGCCTTTTGGTTAAACTTTCAGCAAGGAATTTGCATTTGCACTGTTGCATTTTTATAAAGCTTTAATGTACATAAAAACCAGCTTCTTGTTTAAGTGAAAATAAATGATAGGTTGTCTTTTTGCGCTAGTAATGTTGTGGAGTTGTATTTTGTCACGCATCAATTATATCGTCAGTTATATCGTTATTGCAAATTTTCAAATATATATCGTGATAAATATTTTTGGCCATATCGCCCTGCTCTAGTCATTTTAGCCTTTTTGGCCAGGGTGAAGGGAGTATCTGCCATCAAACAAGAGGACAGCCGCATGTAGCTATGATGATGTTTGCTAGTTCACCTTACATGCATTAATGTAATAACGTGGTTAGCCTACTCAACGTAAATTACACACGAACAACATGAAGCTACTCACGCAGAGAAGAACGGCTGCTGCTGCATCATCATCCTCATCATTTCTGCTACACTGGCAGGGCTAGGGGCCAGGACTCTCCTCTTCATGTTTTTGGGGGATGTTCTAACTCCAGGTCCAATAACAGGCACCACACCCGCAGTAGATGTGCTCGGTGTGAGGTCTCGCAGCAAGCTACCAAATACGGTTCATTTCTTGGCTTTTAACAAAACGCTATGCGTCGCCAGGTGTTTCATCGGATTTGAGGAGTTACCTCCTTTGACAGTATCACAGTATCAGCTTAAAGCACTTGTTGCTGCTGAGTTTGCATCTTTTGTTGTGAAGTACAGCCAGACTTTGACCGCTTCGCCTTGGTCATTTTTAATCTGTAGCTCTGCTCTAAAAGAACGTTCGTACCTGGGCCCGCCTACTACGCTCGCAAAGGTAAAATGATTGGCTAGAATCTAAAGTGTCTGACATCTCAGGGGGGAAAAAAGCACCGAAATGTGCGCTGCTTTTCGGTCTGGTTACTACCGTTTATGTCAGAACCGATACCGGGACCCATCCCAACTCAAGTTTGTTCTTATTTTCTTAAAAATCAGTGATGAATAGTGAAATGTTCTAGCTTTACTGAGAGCCTTTTTTAATAGAGTCACTTGGAGTGATTATTTTTCCAGGATAAATGATGATCATCTAAATTAGTAAGATGCCATTTCCTTTCACCATTAAAACCCAGAATCCAGGATGTCAGGCTTGAACTGAAGACTCATCTTCTATTGTTGGAAACTCACATGTTAAGCATGACAATCACGTAACAGGGCAGGAGTGAAGCAAACCGAATACGAGGACTGTCTGAGACCACACAGAGGAGAGAACAGTATTGAGGGACAACACGGAATTAAGAAATGAAATGAAATTAGGCAATGTGTGTTGCAACCGTATCCTGTGCTGCTCAGCCTGAAGCAGAGCCTTACAGCAAACCAGAATATTTCACCAGAAATGAAATCAGGGACACGCCGGCCATGATGTGCCCACATCCCCCTTCACCAAACACACCCACGGTTGGATCACGTGACCCTGAATCCTCCCTTAGATAAGCTGCAATAGGGATTGCTTATCTAAGGGAGGATGATGCTGCACTGAATGTTTCTTCTTCAGTCACTATGTGTTTGTACACCTCTCTTTATTAGGTGTTATTAATCTCTGTCTCTCTTCCACAGCATGTCTTTATCCCGTCTTCCTTCTCTCACCCCAACCGGTCGCAGCAGATGGCCCCGCCCCTCCCTGAGCCTGGCTCTGTGTCAAGAGATGTATTCTAAAACACTTCTTGTTGCTTAGCAAGGGCAGCTCTGAGCTCTCGGACGAGAGTGAGCGCTCAGGGACTCGCAGCTCTGAGACTGCCCTGGTCTTTATTTATACATCAGTGGGTGTTTGTTCCTTACATTGGAATGTGGATGTTTATGTGTGTGTGTGTGTGTGTGTAGGTGTGGAGTCAGAGTGTGACCCCATAACCGACTTCCCTAAATGTGCTGGTCTGGAAGTCCAACAGTTCATCTAAGCACTTAGACTAAAACTTGACATAGCTACGTTTATCCTACCATAAAACAATAAGACAAGGTACGACCTCTCCCATACTCCCAGGGTGTGGGTGTGAATGCCAGAGCACTCTGGAATGCACATAGGGCCTTTGCAGACTATTAA